TACCTTTAATTGTCCAAGGTCAAAATCTTGATCCTCAAGGAGGTTTTCTGGTACGGTTCCTTTGTTTAATTGTTCCAGGATATTCAATGCTGATATACATTCATCTTGACGTTGTTTCACCTGCAATTAAAAAACTAGGAATTAAAACTGAATGGTTACATTGTACACTGTTCCTTCCAAGGTTTTATTTTGGACCCGAAATCCCTTCTTGTGTCTAAAGCCCTTTCAGAATACACACAGGATTTTCAGTGATGTGTGTRTGTTTTATTTTCTAACCTGCGTATTTCTGAGTTGAAACTCATCATCTCTTGGACCTCTCTTATAAAATGGTATCCATTCTTCYACTTTTTCTTTTCCTTCAGTTTCTTTGAGCACATATGTTGCAGATGCTGACTTATCTCTGTAAAGAAAGGATATAAATCCCTTAACATAAAATTTTMATTTGAAAAATAGGAGATAGGAGATGCAGTTTGTAACTACCAAGTCTGCAGAATATTGAAAACACATCAAGAAAAATAAATAATAACAAGAAACACAAGTCGTTCCAGTTTTTTCTTGGATCTTGGAATGACCTATCTCTTTACACCTATTATTTATTGAAGAAATAGAAAATACAAGCATGTGCTGTGTGCAGTTATGAAGCACGCAGGGGTTGGTAGAACACCAGGGAAGTGTTAGAAGAAGCATGATGCATAGTGGAGTGCTTCTCGACACTTCTCGAGTGTTCTGCCAATCCCCAAGAACTTTATAACTCCACACAGCACAGCAAGCAAGTTTTTTTTTCTTTTATAAAATACAAATTACAGGAATGACAAAACTGAAAGTGCACATGCATGCTGTGTACTCTCATAARGCACACTCTCCCAACCAATCAGAACATGAGATTTAGAAAATTTTTTTATAACACCTATTACATATGGCTCCTATAACATTTTTGACAAAAATATATTACCAAACAATTAAAGAACTTCTGTGAATATAATAGAGAACCTAATGYTTTGCCAACCTGTGTTCTACTATTGCTACCACACATCCATGAGATGCCAGCTCACAGCAGTAAGTTGAATACATAAGTCTATTTGCACCAAGACCATGAGAGAACACAATGCAAGGAAATCCTTTGCCTTCAATGGTACTTGGGAGAAGCRGTGCATTCTGGATGGCTGGAATACGCACATGATCTGAGCATGAAAAAATAGAACCCCAATATTTAACTGCACATACTTAGGGCATTTTCCATTAAGTCCAACCAATCAGTCAGCAAGAGCAGCCAGTTTTCAATGGTGTACACAAGCGTTTTCACATATATCAGAGGCTAGTCAGTCACTAGTCAGTCACTAGTCAGTCCAGAACAATATTGAAATTGCTTGCCATATTTTGATTCTGTGTATGTGTTAGTTCTTAGAACTGGACCAATGTAGCCAAACCATTTCTAAGAACTGAGCATACCATTTCTAAGAACTGAGCATACCATTTCTAAGAACTGAGCATACCATTTGAGAACTGGCTGCTAAGACTGATCGGTTCGACTTAATTTGAATTTCTTCTTCAAATAGGGGTCTCCCTACGTATGCAAATTTCTTCTCAAAAACCCAAAATCAATAATCAGCCTATTTAAAAACTTTGAACTCAACTTAATTCAGCAAATAACTTAAACCTGTGGCCATAAAAGGAAAATCTCTTTCTATATGGAGAGGCACAAATACTATGCTTATGACCTTCTTTAGAAACTCTGAATGCCTAAAAATCGATTGCATAACATGAAAATTATTTCAGTCATATGTATTGAAGTTTACTAACTTATTGTCCAGTGAACTATTGCTCCAAAGAATCTTCCAGGCAAATTAACAAAGTCAGCTACTCCCTTGGAATATTCACTCCTTGGAAACCAAGTAGTCTGTCTCCTGAGGAGCTCTTTCTCGTCCAAGACGAGGTTGTTGGTGGGATAAAACAAACGAAGGAAGCTGCCATTTTGGTTGTCAACTGTGTGAAGTCCATCCGTTTTTGCACACATATAGTCTGTACAGCCAACAGCAAAAGGGCCTGTGCAGTCAGGGAGCCTTTTAGCTCCTCTTAGACCAGAAAACCAGCCTGTCATTGTGATATTTGGCCTTCGTAGTTATTTTGGAGTCACGCTTGTAGTTCTTCCACCATCTTGAATTGAGCCGACTTACTGACCGGTAAGCAGTAGAAAATATAATAATTTCGTACTTGGGGAGGGAAGGGAAGGGATAAAGCAAAGCAGGCGTAATAATATAAATATATTAAATATATTAAATGCCACATTTTATATCATATATTATTAAAGCTGTTTTATTCGTTTTACTATATAATTACTAATTTTATTTCGGTATTAAATTTATTTACGCAAAAAGAAAGTCGGTCGCAGTGTATAGCAGCACTTCGCGAGCGCGGATAGACCTAATCGGCTAACGTGTTGCTATAAACGTTTCCATCCAATTCAAACCACATGGGACTAAGTTTCATTGTAGAGAGAATTCGTAGAGACAAACGCTTCTATTCCCAGAAGGTTTGAATTGGGTGGTAACGTAGATAGCAAAACGTTAGCCGATTAGGTCTATGGCGTCAGCACTGTGCTCCGTACACTAATAAAGCACAGTTTTTGATCAATCAGCGCGCGCRTACTATCTTAACCACATGATAAAATTGGATATTAAAACTTATTAAAAAAAGCATACTTCGACAACTTCAGAGCCCACATTCCTCATGGTCGGTGCTGACCATGAGGAACGTGGGCTCTGGGTACGATATTGGTCAATAAGCCTTTTCATAGTTTAAGAATCGACTCCACTGCGCATGCGATTTTATCTCGAATTTCTCACCTTCTTTTGTTTAATTAAGAACAAAAGAAGGTTTAGACAAAAGAAGGTGAGAAATTCGGGATAAAATCGCATGCGCAGTGGAGTCGATTCTTAAACTATGAAAAGGCTTATACCTACCTAGTGTCAAGCCATATTACGGAATTACCCCACTCCCAGAGGGGGGAAAATTTTGTATCAGGGTATGTTTACATATCCTTGCAGTGATCATCACGTGTCTGTTTGGTCACGAACTCCATGGAAAACTGTTAGCAGGCCGTACATTTATCTTGATGGAAGAAAAGCTACCATCAGAAGGGACTCCAATCGTTGCTAGTGCAGACGATGAAGACGTGAATGATGAATCAAACGAGGTAAAGTTTGAGATAAATATCATAACTATTATCTTGCTCGATCGATGAAAAATCGAATTAGTACCCCAGTCGCCTAAAGATATCATATCAATATTCCAAATAATAGATGGTCCTTCCACGGTTTTTTCAATTTTTTTACATGACAAAAATCCATCGATAATGCTGGAAAAAGGACCTCAAAATTAGTTAATTTACGAAATTGGAAACAGGCGATCGAAGATATGGCCATGCAATGTCACGAAATTTTACAGACGTTTGTATGGTGGGGGCACAAACCATACAAACGTCTGTAAAATTTCGCAACTATATACATATATATATATATAATCATTTACATCATTATTCTTCATAAGTATTATTTATTAACCATTTTAGTAGATGATCACTAATGRTGTTGTTTGTCAAAAAATTAATTGAACCTGTTTTTGTTCCTGTGAGTTAACTAATGTTGTTCTAATTATGTTGTTTGCGAACCGCCAAGCCGGAAGTACGAAGGAATTAATTTTAAGTCACTTTTGTCACAGAAAAATTGCGTGACAAGCTCCAAATAACCTTTAGCATGACATTTTACTCACAGTAAATGCCCCCTTGACCCACAGGACCAAGGTCATTTCAAGAGCAAACTCGGTCTCGTCTTATCTTGTCTGGGATGCGTTGTGGGAACTGGAAACATTTGGAGATTTCCGAGAATTGTTGCTAACAACAGTGGCGGGGAAGGTAAGAATGGAAGCCATCATGATTACTTGGTAGCAATGAATCCGAATTACCGAACGCTGAAATTTAGTACTAATATCTGGATTTTACCATCTGGAACAAGAGTTGTTCGAAGATGCGAACGGCATCTCCCTGCCTCTCTGCTAACGTTACTTCAACCTTAAAATGGCAAATATCAACCCCCTTTCCGAATTCCTGGCGACCCCGGGACTGCAGCATTGAATTTGGAACTCATACTCGAGTCTCCGCGATCCGTTTTCCCATAAAGAAAACGAAAAAGAAAATTATTTAATAATTTTCAAAAATTACTTGCACCCAACTTTGGATGGCAGTGGTTAATAGAAAAGAAGTCAATGCTTTGCTTTCAAATAACCCATTCTTTTGTCTTTTGATTGTTTTGTTGTTGTTTTTTTTTTTTTTTCGTTTCCTTGCCGACCTTGTTCTCATTGGTTTTTCATTATATAAACACTCCTTTCTACCACCTCTTTCTCTTTTACTCCGAAAAAGGACTAGCGTCCGAAACGTCAATAAGCTTTTTCATCTTTTCACGGTGTTGATAATTTACCYTTTTATMATTACTGTTTCCAAGAAACACCGACGCAGCTCACACTAGTTTTTAGCTAGTTATCCCTTCTTTCAATTTAGTTCTGAGTTGTAAACAAAATCTGTTCAGGATGTTTGCAGTTCCTGATCGCCTGGATATTGTTTCTCTTCATTTGGTCCATACCAATTATTCTCATCGAGTACGCAGTGGGCAGATATACCAGGAAAAGTACGGTTCGTTCATTCAGGATATTGATTGGTCCATGGTCGTCATGGTGCGGAGCATGGATGTCAGTGGTCAATACTATCATTGGGTGAGTCAGTGGTGCATAGCGTATGGTAGGAAGGGTATAGACCCCTTGCATGTGACATCACAGCAGCTTGATCTGGGGGACAAAACAAAATAATTCTAATCTCGTGAGAATTGGAACCTATTGTTTTGTCCCCCAGATTGAGCTGCATTCCAAAGTGTTGTCTATACAGCTCGGATGTATRAAAAATTAAGCTATCATCAAAATTTTCTTTAACGAGTAATACCAACCTTCCTTATTTCAGGTGCTATTATTCTGTAGTTCTTGGATGGTGTTTTTATTTCTTGTTTCGCTCCATATTTTACAAACTGCCTGAAACGATCGAAGAAAGCCTAAAGACGTGGGATGCCATGCAGGTAGGTAACATAGACATACATCAAATACGTTGAGAGAGAGCATAGCACCGCTGCTTTTGGCCTCGTAACCATTCAACTCCCTATTGAAAAAACTAGGTCTCGTCCGCAATTGGAAAATCAAAAAAAAATCCAGAATTCAACCTTTCCCAATAGGAAGGTCACAAATCCAGACAGAATATAGAATATTTTATAGCTTACTGAACCAGCATTTCTTTACATTCACTAAAAAGTCCTCATGCTACTGTCTTCCATGACCTTACTGTGCGAACACACTAACCGGGACCTCTTGAATAAAACTGACCAATCAGATAACGGCAAACTAGACAAAGATTGGACTGATAATATTGTTAGCCAATCAGATTATCACGTTCTCACGCYCTTATAATATCGATGCGCTATCTGAATGGCTGGTTRGAAATATTGAACTAAATGTCACAATATGATTGGTTAATGATACTAATTTATCAAAGTGGTCCCGGTTGGAGTATCTGCACAGTAAAAAAAACATATAAAATGAGTCAGTATATCTATTGTTCTACATTACATAAATGCTGCAATCATTTGGGTGAAGATCGTCAAACTTCAGTACCTGCTTTCAGTTCGACCCGGTTGAACTGCGCCACTGCTGTATTTGCAGTGGTGATTAGCGATCGCATTTATTTTTAATTTATTTCCTTTGTACTTGAATACAGGATTCCAGTTKGCCGATATTTTGTCATTTTCTGAGCATTTTGCTTGCTGGTCTGTGCATCTCCAGAGAAGTGTCTTCAATTGAACTTGTGAACAAGATAATTATCCCTATTCTTCTGGCGATTCTTGTGTTTTCATTCTACTGGGCTTTGTCTTTGAAATATGCGGAACATGGCATTAAATATCTATTTACTCYAGACTGGGGTGAGCATTGATATCACTTTCTATTTTACGCAATAAAATACAACATAACGTGTAACGTTAAAATGTTTCCTATTGCACGCACGATAAAAATAAAGTATTGCGCAAACTCCAGTAGTTGATAACAGATTGTTCTTTGTGGGCCGATGTTTCATGTTACATAATATCAGATCCCAGCCCATCTAGTAATTGTCTCCCCCACAGCTCCTTTCAGTGTCGTCACGCAACGTTTTCTCCCCTGAGTACTCAGGGGAGAAAACGTTGCGTGACGACACTGAAAGCGGCTGTGGGGGAGACTAATCTAGTAATTGAAGACAAAATTCCTGTGAAATTCATTAGTATATATATAACGTATTCGTTTAATAGTATATGAATAGTATTTAGCTGTAAGCGCATGCATTGAATCAATGGCAGTTAGTGATAACACGCGCACAAATAAGTCACAAATCAATTTATAAAACCTATATTCGTTCATTAGGGTTTCAATTGTATTCCTTATTTTTGTATTTTGGTCCTGGCAGAGGAATTCAAAGAACCAAGACTTTGGGTTGATGCAGCCTCACAAAACGCATGGGATACAGGTACTTGAAGACTCCCATCATGGTTATATATCGTGCTTGACAAAATTGATTGAGATTAGGGATAGACTGCGAGCGGTCCTACTTTTCCCTTCAGACTCATTGAAGACAAGTGTTTTTGAATTCCTGTGGACGCGCGCGGAGATTGGAGCCGAGTGAGAAGCCGAGTAATATAAATCTCCGCGCGCGTCCACAGGAATCCAAAAACACTTGACTTTACTGAGTCTGGAGGGAAAGTGGGACCGCTCGAAGTCGAGATTTGTGACTCAATAGAGGGAAAGCATTTGACAGAAACCATAGAGCTGAAGAAAAGTGAGAGAAAATGCGGAGGTTACAATATCTAGAAGTCAAATATTTCACTATCCTTTTTGTCCTGTAGGAGCTGGCGTTGGTCTATTTCTAACGTATGCTACATTCATGACCAAGAAAAACGGTGTCGTCAAAATAGGAACCCTACTRCCTGCCTGTAATAACCTGATAAGGTGAGTAGATTGATATGGCCAGAAAAACTACATCCTGATTCAGCTAGTATTGGTCTAGCATTTAGGTTACTCATCAGGTATGGAAGATGGAATGGTCAACAAGGAAGTTGGCACAGCGATAATCATGATCTCTGCCTATGCGACTAAAGGCTTAAGCCGATGACAATGATATTGATGACTGAAGTTTCTCTTGCTGTTGGCGCCAAACCTRCCGTGCGCGCTTGCTCCTCTGCKGTGATACTCTCTGTTTCTGTGAACATAAATGTTGCTGAAAACGTTCTGGAAAATGTTTTTTTAGTCAGTTTTGTGGCCCGTCAAATTAAGATGCGCGTGCGAGCGCCATCCTCTTGATACTAACGTCGTTGCACTTGATATTATTATTTTTTATCTTCTCTACGGGCCATGTCTGCGGAACAAGAGAACCAGATTGATATGAACGACGACAAGCAGCCTTTACTGGTTTTTTCCCCTTCTTTTTTTAGTTTGTTGTGTTGYATCACGACATTTTCCACCGTTTTCTCGGTGGAGATGAACCGAGACTCACCAAAAAGTAAAGAAGAGATCGTAAAACTACTCAAAGATAATGGAAAGGCAAACACTGGCCTTACATTCATTTGGTAAGATAAATAAAATTGGAGCAAAATTAGCTTTGAAAGCAGCAAAGATTAAGTAGCTGATAACCTATTTATCTTCAAAATACTCAGGTCAAACCTCTTTAGCAAAAAGTGAAGATAGCAATAAGCCAAGAAAATGATTAACGACTATTATGACACTGAGCTATCACTGTAATCAATGCAAAAAATATTAACTTGGAAGAAATTAAAATCCTTTGAGTTCGAAACATTATTATGTTGTTTATTATACCATATTCTTGCGCTTCCATGTTGGCGACAAATATTTTCATTGGCTTCCTTATTGAATACCATCGGTGAGACTGCTATATATCTTTGGTTTCTCATCATCGATTTTTTTGCTTTTACTTCTGGCTTTATTCATTTGCGCGTTACATTGCGCTGCCATGTTTAAAAAGATTCTCATTTTTAGCTTTCTTTTTGGGTACCGCAAATATGGCTGCCATATTTTTGTTTGTTTGTTTTTGTTCCTCATCGAGTTTTTGCTTTTACTTCTTATTTTATCTGCCCTTCTTTGTTTATGCCTTGTTTAAGGTGAAGGAGTGCAGGAACTATTTCTGTTATATCTGTTTTCCCATAATATGACATAGGTAGCACATAACTACACTTTTTACCTTGGATATGTTAACAGGATGCCGCTTTTGTACAACAGTATTGGAGCTGCCGGACCATTTTTATGTGCCTTGTTTTTTATCTGTCTGGCATTGGCTGGTYTCAGTTCTCTGATTTCTATTGTAGAACTTGCTGTACACACTTTACAAGATATGGAAGGTAAGGATGAGTTACGCAAAGCATGCATGGATTGTACAAAAAATAATAATAAATGGTAAAAATAAATCTTTCTGAAGCGAAMGTGCAGCAGATCTAGGGAAAGACTTTACGAATGGTAATTAATTGTTCATCGCGGAATTGTACAATTATCCGTCCCAAAAATATGATATTTTGGAGGACGTCAATCAAAGTGTTTCCATGACATTGTCGGTAAACGTAAAGTTTTCAAGAGCACATGCCATCGGAATGTCATAAAAACGCCTTGATTGACGTCCACCAAAAACTACTTCATCTCGACAACGATTCCTATTGAGAACGTGTTCTATTGAAAACGAATTTTAGCATCACCAATTGTGTATATTTTTTCTCTCTCATTACTTTTATCTGCAGTTCCTCGTAGATATGCCATTCCAATTTCCGTTACTGTTATGTTTTGTGGTGGTCTGGCGTCAGCCTTGGATCTGGACATTCTCGTCAATCAGGTCAGGTCTGCTTAGAAGTTTCAATAGGTTCCAGCTCCGCCATGTTGGTGCCACACCTGATGATTTGGTGTTTTTTGTCGTTCCAGGATTTTGTATGGAGTTTTGCTCTTATCATCGCGGGCTCGATGACGCTTTCTATACCAATACGATACGGTGCTTCTCGTTTCAGAGATACCGTCGTCAATAAGGTGTGTTAGTCTTTCTTTAAGTAGTAGAAAATTCTTCTTTGTTATTATCTTTTCATAACACGACGTAATGGCATTGTATTCATAGTGTAGAAATTTGTTATAAACCAGTTTGGAACATTTAAATAACTTGAAGAAAATGTCTTGTTACTTTGTAGTTTGGATATGATGACTGGARTCTACCTTTCCTCTGGCAAATTATTGTAAAGTACGTAGGAAAACAAGAGGGAGAACAGCAATAGAGCATGTACCTGTGTCCCACCTACTTGCCTTCCTACCTACATATGCCTACCTACCTACCTACCTACCCCTACCTTCCTACCTACCTACCTACCTACCTACCTACCTACCTATGCCTACCTATACCTACATACCTACCTACCTATACCTACCTACATACATACTTGCTCGCTTACATATTTCATCTACTATACATGTTTATTTCGTGTAGATATATCGCCCCGCTAGAAGCACTGGGTTTGATCATTTGGTGGATCATCGATACAGTAAACAGCGAGAAGGACAAAGATGGCCTCCACTGGTATGAGCTTGACAAAGAAAGCTTCATGATGGCTATATTGCAGGTATTAATCATCAGAACTATAGTAGATTACGTTTGGGAGCAATTTGACACTCGATCGTATATTTCCAATTCAGATGAAATCTAGAACTGGAACTAAAATTAATTCTAATCGATTTAAGTATATTCTGCTCTGCCTGACTTTAGTTCAACGTGATTGTCTTTCCTAGGCACGGAATATATACGAAACGATTGTTGAGAATCGTTATTGCATGGCTTATCGTTTAACATGAAACAACTCGTCTAACTTGCAGCAACTCGTTTTGTTTTGTTTTGTTTTGTTTTTTGCAGCAATTCGTTTCTAATTTGCAGCAACTCGTTTCTCATTTGCAGCAACTCGTTTCTTATTTGCAGCAACTCGTTTCT